TTGCTATTGATTGTATGAATGTAAGACACAGCAGAAAGGAAGGCAGAATGCTGAATTAATATGTGAACATTTGTAGGTGAGAGATCACAGAATCATAGGACGTTATCACACGTGGCCCAGAAACTGAAAATAAAGTGGAAATGAGGCATCCTGAAAATAAATGGGAAATAAACCTTGTTTCCGCAAACGTCATTACCTTAATTGCGAATTTACAGTAACTGCATTGAACGTCCACACACAAGAGAAAAAAAACCCATAAATGTAGTAGAAATGAGCCTCTTGCACATGCACAGATAGAGGAATGCTTGCTGGAACCATGGCAATAGCAGGGAAATGCTCCCCAATGCGCATTTGGCGATCACATTACGGTAAATGCGTAATTACCGTAATTACGTGTTTGTGTTTTCTCCAGACAAGTGAATTACAAAAAATCACATTTCTGTCCACTTTCTGTCCACTTTCTGTCCAGTTTCTGTGCGACGTCATGTGAAAACATGGGGCAGTAATCCAGTTTCGGTCTGGATTTTGTGTGGATTAACCAGCAGATTTGCCCCCGTGTGATAACATCCCTAGAGTTGGAAGGGACCCCAAGGCCTTCTATTCCAACCTCTTGCCAGTGAAATAAATCTCTGCTAAAGCATCACTGAGAGGTGGCTATTTAAATATTCTTTAAAAATATCCAGTGAAGAAGATGATCTTCTGAGGCAGTTTATAGTCCTGTGAAACAGTTCTTACTGTCAGGACATTCTTCCTAATGCTTTTATATGAATGTGCATGAGTGAGATGCACATGCATGAGGAAAACAGAAGTTCAGATTAGCCAAGAACAGATGGAAAGATTAACTGAAATTGCAATAGCACTCATGAGAGCCATACCTCTCCTGAATCAGATGTTTTATGGTCAAATGCACATCCTCTTTGACAAAGAAGGGAGGGAGGGAGGGAGGGAGGGAGGGAGGGAGGGAGGGAGGGAGGGAGGGAGGGAGGGAGGGAGGGAGGGCCAAACCTCTCTTATTTTTACACTTCCAAACCACTGCTGTTTTCACTATCACTTGTGCAGTGAGGAGCTTGTGTGGTTGCAATGATTTCTGGTGAGTGGGGTGGGTGGAAATGGGAGAAAATATCCTGTGATCTTCCTTGAATCATGCACAAGAGAAAGGTAGGATATAAAATTTAAATAAATAAATAAATAAATAAATAAAGTGTTTGGAGGTTTTTTGAGTCTCCCATTCAAAGTCCCCCCCCCCAGTAGAATTACTTTAACATCAATCCTGGGCAAGCTCTCAAGAACTTTCTCATCTCCAGTGTTTGACCTGACCACTTTGGAAGACTGTGTATCATATTTTTTCTGCACTATTTCCTGTTTCTATTCCCTTATTCCTTGTGCCTGTGGTAATGACCAATGCTATATTAAGTATCCTACAAAAACCTATACTAGAGTCTGATGTAGTGGCACTGGGACATTACAATGAGATATAGCCAGTTCCTACTTCACATTGAATTTTACTTTCCATTAGTTTACAGATATCTGGAATCCATAGATAAGGGTCATAAACCAATATCTTTCACCTTGTCTAGACAAGATGGATGTATTGTTAGTACATTTGTAATGGTAGGTTATGGTAGATACAGTTGAGGATCTTCTAAATACCATGCCCACTGTTTTATCACTAGAATTCCAGTGCCTTCTGTAACATGAACTAATGAAAAGTAGCATCCAATGAAAAGCAGCTAGGAACTGGATGTCTCTCACTGTAATGTTTGGATATGATGATTCAAACTATAGCCAATAGATTCATAATTACAGTTTAAATGGCTTAGGATTTTGGTACATTAGTGTCTACCTTCTCTTATATGAGATTTGCTTCAGAGGATCTTCTCTAAGTCCCACCATCATGAAAACTGAGAGGTGAAATGAGAACAGAGACAGTCTGTTCTGTGGAACTTCAGCTTTGGAACTCTCTCTGAAGAGCTACTGAACTGGTGCATAAAGTCTGTTTTCTTTTCAGTTCCAGATGCAAATATTTTCCCCCTTTTCAATATTTTTCCTTTTCAACTTTTTTTAAAACTCAGATTTTACTTTTTCCAGTTGCTGCTGTTTGCTATAAGTGTTGTGACTTTTACTAACTGATGGTGTATATTTTTGTACTGGAGGTTTGTGTCTATCAAATAAATCTGTGTATCTTATGTTCTTTGTTGTGCCTACCCTATATAAACTCTACTTAATAGATTTAACTACTTGGATGGATAAGTATAAAATTACAGAAAAGCATTTTACTTCCTGTTTTGTGTGTACCTTCCGCTTGACTGTACAGTAGCCAAATAATGCCACCATGAAGTGATTTTCTATTAAGCACAATGCTAATGCATGGCAAAAGCCAAAGGCTGTTTTGCAGAGTCAGAGCATCTGCAGGATACAGATATGACTGTCCTCAGAAATGCTGAACCAAAAGGTAAAAGCAAATCAAAGACAATCCCATAAACACATTTTCAGCTCTGATGTAATGGAGAGGAGGAACCTACAGACAACAGTGCTTAAAGAACTTTACTGTATTATGGAGTTATTGAAATGCTATTGATCAATTAGCTTAAATGTGAACATTATTTTCAAATTACACATCTGTTTGTTTCATTAAAAATAAATAGTGTGAAGACACACCCAACTAAAGGTGGTGGAAAATATGGGTGTGCAACGCCAGTACCCTAGTGAGATCAAACTCTTTTAGCCAAAAAGGCTCCAAAGCTGAATGCAAAGTCCAAAAAGGGGGAAATTTATTTTGAAGAACAAAAGAAAAGGGTTTCTCCTCCCCAGCTCTAACAGGCTTAAAATAAAAGGTACCTTGCAGTTTAGGTTTCAGCAATCTTCAGTGTTGTCATCTCTCTGGGATTGATCTTGATTTGATCTCCTACTCAATGAAGCTGGTGCAGGGTCTTTCAGCTTCTGGTGCTCTTGACTTCTTTGTTGTTGATATTCAATTTAATTAACTGCTTTTGGTAATGGTTAAATGGTAACTAAATTGGCTAATGCTAACTAAATTGGCTAAATGGTAAATTGGCTAAATGGTAAATAAATTGGCTAAATGTAAATAAATTGGCTAAATATGTAAGAAATGCCCTTTCCGTCTGTCTGTGCCTGTTTGCCACCAAACAGATAAAGCCAAGCCTGCCTAAGAAAAAAACTAAAAATCCCAAGCTAAAGGAGAGCTTGTTGGAAAGGGGCAAACCAAAAACTAGAAAAATGCAGGGGATTCCTACAGCTCCTCCCACAAACTAATACAATAGACCATTCCTATGCTCAAACATATTAAGAATTGAACTAAAAATGAAGGAATGCAGGGGAGAATTTAAACAGTCCAGGCTGGACATCACAAATAGTGAAGAGACATCAGGACAGTAAGCTATGATTTGCTTGACATCAGTTTTGAACTCATTTGAAATATGGTGTTGGAGGAGACTACTAAACATGAACTGCCAAAAAGCAAATAAATGGGTCCTACAGCAAATCAACCCTGAACTCTCACTAGCAGCCAAAATGATTTATCTGAGGCTGTTTTATTTTGGCTGTATCATAAGCTATCTCAAAGACCGCCTCCTCCCATACAATCCTCCCCGTGTTCTCAGGTCCTCTGGGAGGAACTTGCTGAAGCCTCAAAAATCTAGACTTGCAGTGATCTCCCAGACAGCTTTTTCTGTTGTTGCCCCCAGGCTCTGGAATGGCCTGCTGGACGAGATCCATCAATTAACATCTTTAGACAGCTTTAAAAGGGCTGTCAAGATGGATCTCCTCCGGCAGGCCTTCCCGGACTAAATATCCCAGCCTCGGCTCTCCTCCCCTTCAGCAGATCCTCCATAACACTTCCCTTGTAGGAAGCTGCAGGGGTTTTATTGTTGTTTTGTTATAGTTTATTTTAAATTTGTTGGAAAATTTTTAATTAAATTTGATTTAATCATTTTTTTAAGGGTGGGTTGGAAATACATTGGTTTTAGGCTGTATTATTTTAATGTTGTGAACCGCCCAGATTGGGTCACCAATGGGCGGTAAATAAATAAACTTTATTATTATTATTATTATTATTATTATTATTATTATGGAAGATTATAATGCTCAATAATGTGGGAGGCAGTAGGAGAAGAGTAAGACAACATTATAAGTAGATAGATTCAATAAAGGAAGACATGACACTCAATTTGCATGATCAGAGCAAAGCTGTTGATGACTTGGGCTTTGTCAAATTTTACTTCATGGTAAAAATTATCTTCTTTCCCTTTGTGTTGGTCTATGCTATAGTAAATTACTGACTAATTGACTGAGGCTCATGAAGACCTCTTACTCATGGGGTAATCATAAATTGAAGCCAACTTGATGACATAAAAAAAAACATGCATTTTGGACTGGATGCTTTCTACTCTAATTAGGATGTTATAGAAGCAGAAGCAGAGATTGTTGTTGTAGTAGTGGTGGTGGTGGTGATGTGCCTTCAAGTAATTTTGGAGCCTGAGGCAAATCCATCATGGGGTTTGCTTGAAAAGTTTTGTTAAAATGAAGTTCTCCATTGCCTTCCCCCATGACTGAGGGCCTGTCCAAACTGGCCAAAAGGGCCAGCCTGAGGGTGGAGTTGGGGTAGTGCGACTGCTTGCCGGCTGCCCCGATTCCACTCCAACTCTGCCCTGACTCCGTCCCAACTCTGCAGTCACACCATGCACCCCACCTCATGGCGCGCAGTGTCAGGGTGCCCCATTGGCACAGTGTGTAGACACGCTGTGCCAAAGGGACGTAAAAGAGCCACAGCTGCAGCACTAAGGGTAGCTTTTTGCCACCCCCAAAAGGAGCAGCATTTGTAAGCTCTTTTTGGAGTGGCAAAAAGCTGGATCAGGGTTGGGCCTATGGTTGCCATGGCCCTGATCCAGCGCTCCCAAGGGTGGCACAGAGCCATCCCTTAGGGGCCGGCTGTATGGCACCTGAAAGAATGTGATTTGCCCAAGTTCACCCAGTGGGTTTAATGGCCAAGCAGGGAATTGAACCCTGATCTCTAGAGTCATAGTCTAACACTTAAAACACTGCACCACACTTGCTGATTAATCTGAAATTCACTGTGAGTTTCATGTATTCTCACTGAATATTTGAAAAATACAGTTTAGCCTATGGTTGCTTGTCATTCTGTTTCCATATAGGCAACGCCACACCCATGAAACATAGGAGATCATCACACAGGAAATCCGCACTGGGATAGATGTGGGTTGTAACTGTCTTGAACAGATCTTATTGCACAGTAGGCAGCCCGTATGCAATCTGAGCTTCTCCAACAGCTTTTAATGAATGGGATTTTCCTGTTCTTGAAAAGCTGCTGGAGAAGCCCAGGTTGGATACCTACTGGCTGGACTCCTGGACATACAATAAGATCAGTTCCAGATGGTTACACCCCATATCTATTCCAGGACAGATTTCCTGTGTGATAATCTCTGAAAACAAACTAGCAAAGGTATTGCCATGAGGAAAAGAGATGGAATAATAGATGCTGAAGGAGGTCCCATAGAAGTAGGGTGTTCAAGATGGACAGTTTTGAGATTTTGGGTTTTTCTCCCCACTTTTTTAAAAAGTCAAATTCTTTTTATCTCATTTATGAAGATTTTGTTGTTAGAGTCTCAGCAAAAATGCAATGAACAAAGTTGATAGGCATCGGCCCCAGTCAAATTCAACAGATGCAATAATTCACAACATGGAGAGAACTATATAGCTGATAATAAAGAAGAATTCATCAGCAAAAGAGGATGGCAAAGAGAGGGTAAAAAAACACAGGTAAATACACATAGATTCAAAGGCATACATTTAAAGGCTAAGTATTCAAAGATTTTTGCTTGGATGGCTATCAGATGTGGTTTGTCCCATTTTTAAAATACTTTTCTTTTTTTTAAAAAAAATCCAAATGCTTTTCTATCCTGTTTGTGAATGAATATGGACAATTTGTTAACATGTTTCCAAACCATATTGACAATATGGAGGCAAAATTTGGATGAATAAAATAAGGTTTAACATTCATTCTTTATATTACATCAAATTCCTAGTGAAGCTCCTAGCTCTTGTTAATCACAGGCAAACATATAAGTTTAGAGATATACATAAATGAGTTGTTTAAATGTTTTTGGGATGCGGATCCACAGAATCTGAGAATCTGATAAAAGCTATGAGCTACCTCCCCAGAGAAATTTCTTAAACACAATGTGCAAACTAACAGGAAGGATTTTTTTTAAAAAAAATTCTGGTTTACAGACCACCCCCCAATAGACCCCCAGGGCTAAGAAATCTGACAAAATTGATCTTGAACATTAGCATTTTATATTCAATGAAATAGCTAGGGAATGAGATTCTGGGTGCATCTACACTGTAGAAAAAAATCATTTTGACACCACTTTAACTGATATTGCTCCATCCTCAGAATTCTGGGATTTGTAGTTTTGTGAGACACCAGCATTCTAATGACCTTAAAAAAAAACAAATCCCAGGATTCCATAGGATGGAGTTACAGCACTTAAAGTGGTGTCAAATTGTATTATTGCTATAGTGTAGATGCACCCTAAGCAGCAATTTATTGGGTATCTCTGGCCCCAGCTCTGGGATTAGGATCTTGTTTGTCTGATGAAGAAAAAAAAATGTGGTTGGTTATTTCTCATTCTGTTTTGTTTCCAGGGTGGAAAAGGGTCAGCACAGATATAGAATTCTTCATGAGGGATTATTGTAAGCCTGTTATGACTGGTACAGAGTATAGGGGCAAGGCACACACCTCTCACATGCTTTGAATGAGTGTTGGGGATTGTCTAGCTCCTGCATCTCACATTTGTACCCCAGAAAGAATTAGTTTGTCTTTTTATTTTGCACCTCTTTTCACTACAGGGCAGAGTCATCCCTTGTACCAAACAGTAAATTCTATATAACTCCCTAGTCTTCTTGGATAGGGTAATAACCCCATTGGCAATACACTTTGATTTTAAGCCCTTCTCTGTTTTTTTTAAATTTATTTTTTTATTATAGATTATATTGTACAAGCTAAGTAACAATCAAGTGAGCAACATTTTTAGAAAACTAAAACATATAGGACACATGCAGTAAAGAAAGAAAAGGGGGGAATAAAAAAAATTCAGAGGAGTTAAACCATGGTAGGGGGAGAAATCTGAGGATACCTTGCTTTTTCCTTTCCTTTCCTTTCCTTTCCTTTCCTTTCCTTTCCTTTCCTTTCCTTTCCTTTCCTTTCCTTTCCTTTCCTTTCCTTTCCTTTCCTTTCCTTTCCTTTCCTTTCCTTTCCTTTCCTTTCCTTTCCTTTCCTTTCCTTTCCTTTCCTTTCCTTCCCTTTCCTTTCCTTTCCTTCCCTTTCCTTTCCTTTCCCTTTCCTTTCCCTTTCCTTTCCCTTCCCTTTCCCTTTCCCTTTCCCTTTCCCTTTCCCTTTCTTTCTTTCTTTCTTTCTTCCTTTCTTTTTCTTCTTGTGGATACTTTCTCAACTCGACTAGTCATCAGGATCAGTAGTCATTAACACATCTTGCTACTGAAAAGGCAAAATTCGAGATTACTGTGCTAGCAGTTTCATGATGGAGAGTTGGATAGAAAGACATCCCCTGATAAGTCAGGAGGGGTTTCTTGTTGTGCTGGCTATTTAAGGGCATGAGAGGCCTACTTGGCCAAGCGCACAGGGATCTATTAGAGCTCCTGCACACTTGGCCAATCAAGTTGTTTGCTTGATTCAAGCAGGTCTCACGGTGATCATACTCGCGTGAGATTTCTTCCATGAGTTTGTTCTATATAGCTGTACGCTGCCACGTGGCAGCAGCCATTTTAGAGTTGGAACTGAGCGAGTCACTTCGCTCTGCTTCATTCTCTGGCTATTTGCTTGGCTTGGCCTAGTGAATTTTTGGCTTTTGCTCCTTATTTATTTGACCCAAGATTCATCTTCCACTGCATGAGTTCTTAAGTCGAGTCTCCCTGTTTTTTGAGAGGAATAGGCTGGGCGAGGCCTTTTGGTCAGTCGCCTTGGACCTGGAGGGTGGCCTGCGCATTTTCAACACTTGGGTGGTTACACACCTGACTGAGGCGGGAGCTGAGGCAGGTGTCTTTTCTGCCGGCTCGATCTCAGGCCCAGCAGCACCCCGGACACTCCGGATTGGTAAGGTCGGGACCCCATCGCCTGGTTCAGGAGGGATTTTACACCTCTTCACAGCGGTGTGTGTGTGTGGAGGCAATAGTTGTCTTCGGGCAGGGTGCCAAATAGGACCCTTGGTGGACACCTTCCCCCATGTGGTTGTTGCCAGTGACTACCACCTTTGGCCTGGTGGTAGTCATCCAAGGTTGGATGATTGTTGCATAGGACCCGTGCTTACACTCGCTGGGGGAGCGATGCCCCACAGTAAGGCCCAATCCAAAAGGCGTGCAGCCCCGGCTGTGCCTGGCACTAGTCACTCTGCCTTAAAGAGACCCTTACAATCAGCCAGCAGAGATGATGAGATTGCTGCTCAGCTAGCACAACTGGGCAAGACAGTACAGGCCTGTGTTGTGGTTTGTAATCAGCTTGCCCAGAAGGGGCTCCAGACTATAGCCACCAGCCCTATTGCCAGCACTTATGTTAACCCTGACACAGAAGTTCTGCTTCCTCATTATGCACTTGACTCTCAGGTAATTGATGCAACACCTGGTCCTTCGGTAGTTTCGGCTATAGAGGCTGGGCAACCCACTATAGCTGATGTTTGGGATCTCCTGAAAAGGGTCCCTGGTGTGGAGATGCAGGGTGCCGCTGACCCTGTATCTGAGCAGACCACTGTGGCAGATCTATATAACCTCTTGTGAGGAGTGATTCTTCCAGGTGGTGGTGCAATGGAGCAAACCCATGATGCTCAGAGGCCACACTTCAGGGGACCTGTGCAGTTGGCTGGTGATGCTTCCAAGCAAGCTTCAATATCAGGTTTGTCTTCTTCTAATCCTTCACAGGCAAATTGGCCCACCTTGGTATGGGCACCAGGTGGCTAGGTTAGTTAGGGTGTGGGTTTGGAATGCCCCATCCCTGCAGCTTTGGGTGCATCTGTGCAGGCACCTGCGGTTTCACAGGTGCCTGACTCTAGGGTGCAGGTTGGTCAGCCAACTGCTTTGGCTAGCGACACCTCTGTGGTGTCTCCTTTGGGTGCTCCTGTGCTATCAGGAGTTACTGCTCATAATGAATTCATTCCTTATGCTGGAATGTTTACACCCCTTGGCTCACACTTTCCTCTTTCCACTAAAGAAAGAATATGGAAGGGAGATTATATTGATTTATTTTCTCTTACTTTTAGGGATCCTGAACCAAGGATCATGGTAAAGGATGGGATTGTGTTCAGCCTCCCAAAAGAGTTTCAGGTGCTCAAACGCCCTAAGCTGGAGCATAATTTTGTAAATTGGATCATGGGTTTTATTTATAGGGGAGCTATAGAAGAAAAAGAGCCACTTAGGTCTCCTGACTTTTCTAAATACCAGGAGATCATGATAAAAGCTTATACCAACTGCCATCATAACCCTAGGGGTGCAGCTTGGCTGCAGTACAATGAGCAGTTTAGAATGAGAGCTGCCCAAGATCACTCCCTGTCATGGAGACACGTACAATCTGAACTATGAGCAGATGTAATGTTGGGGGCCTCCCCTTTGAGCAGGTGTGACAATGGGTTTGTTCCCATGGTTACTCAGCTGAAAGGGCAGAATGTGAGGTCTGGCATGGGGGAAAGAAAGCAATTTGGTATATGCTGGGATTTTAACACAGGCAAGTGCAAGAGGCAGCCCTCCAGGTTATCACAAGTGTAACACCTGTGGGGGTGGTCTCCCCAGCACTTCCTGTAGCAGAGGTAAGCAGTCAGGAGTGGGAGATGCCCCCCAGCCAGTTAGATGCAATGGTGGCTTGGCTGAGGGTGTACCCAAACAAGGAGGCTACAGCTTATTTATTTCACAGCTTCTCTTTTGGTTTTTGCATTCCTTGCACAGGTTCTAGGGTACATCATTATATGCCCAATGCTCATTCTGTGAAGGAATTGCCAGCCATTTTAAAGGGACAAGCTGGCAAAAGAGATAG